AGCAAATCGCGTGACAGAAATGGTCGGGCCGCAGGCCCGACCATCGCCGCCGGCAGGCCAAGCAGGCCCGGCCCCTGTCGAACGAAGTTGCCGGCGCAGCGAAGCGAAGCGAAGCGAAGCGAACACCCTCTTTTTGTACTGGTTCCGCCCCTTGGAGATCAAAAACTTCACGGAAATGGATACAGCAACCTCGAAAACCCTCCCGGGCAACCTTGACTTCCTGTTAAAAAAAGATCAGGTGTTCCTGAAGAACAATCATACGGAGCAAAATCCCGGAGTCCTCTAGTATTTGATCATACGAAGATCCTCCGGTTTTATCATTCCTGACTTCTTCGTGATAAACTGCGGAGCAAGCCATGCCTATCACTAACATTTATTATCTACTCATATGCTAACAAACCGAGCATTATTCGTCAATTTTGGTTACGAACTGTTCGTAGCGCTATAAAACAAACTTTTCATAGGAGCACGATTTAATACTGTCAATTGATTAGGATGTTAGAATATTTGTTTCAATCATTTTGGCGTCCAGGACCGGTCTTTTATGACAACAGAAACAAAAGAGTGCCCAGGACACTCCCTTGAGGCACTCCAGTAGCAATTTTCACCCATTGAGAGTGCAGATCTTCACTGACAAGCACTATGGTACCTTTCAGACAGGTAGGAGACGAACCAGCCTACAACTGCCTCAGAGAAGCCACGGAATTTTAGCTTAGTTAATAGCAAGCCATGGTCATGGTGCACACAATCAAAATCTCTACACAGATCCAATAATGTCATAATTGTGAGCTCCCCTCTATCCATTGCAGCTCTGACCTCGTCAACTACCCCCAGGAGGGCAGTCACAGTGCCATGGTTGTTTTTAAAACCAAACTGCAACTCACTAAACAGGTTATTGTTAATTAAGTATTCACACACTTGTTTGTGGACTACCTTTTCAATTGCTTTGGCCATAACACAGATAATGCTGACTGGTCTATAGTCTTCAGGTACATTAGGGTCTTTAATCTTACGTATTGGCAATAAATTAGCCTTCTTCCAAACAGCTGGACAACTCCCATTTTGAAGACTATAATTAAAAATATGGTCAAGGACAGGGTGCAAGAGACGTAGGCATATTTTAATGAACTTGACAGGCATAGGCAATAGGTCAACACCCTTGGAATTAGATTTTATAGAGAGTATAGCTTCAATGATCTCTTCTGGTGTTACATACTTAAAGTGAAATTTATCATTAATATCCTTCACCTGGCACGTACTCACATACTTCTCAATACAACAAGTAATCTGCTCAGGAAACTTTACAGAAGAGACCGAGGCATAGTGATTATTGAGATCCTCTACCGGCACAGTCAGATTAGAGGCTTTATTGTGTGAATTAATATTCAAAGACCTGAGAGTTGACCAGGTCGTTCGTTAGACATTTATGTAATGAAAGAGAGGGAGAGGGCCTCTGGGGGATGGAAAATGAGAAGCCAAGAAAAAGTTGTTCTGGTATGGGTTTATAAGCACTACCTGCGACTTTGAGTCCATGAAGTCGATTGAATCAAGTATTGTTTCCTTTTAGCATAACGGTTTTTTCTTTGTTATGGTTCCCCCGACCACTGTTTTGCTACGCTCTTCCACTCTGGGCAAGACCTACATATGACTTTGTAACCTCATTTAAAACATACTAACTGAAAACTAAAGCTATATTATCTGCTTCCACAGTAGCGCAAGCTTAGGTTTCTTACAGAAGAGAATTGTTTTAATTTGTTTTTGATTGTTTTTATTTTTACTTTTTATATTTTTTATTTTTAATCTGAAATTATTTTGATATTTTTAACACTTGAATAATGATCTGAGGGTGCCAAGGACTATGTACTAAGCATCTATTTATATGATGTGGAGTATTTTAGCATGATAGAAATAGTGACAAGCATTCCTGTTAAATGACAAAATCAACTGGACCAGGTATTATGGTAAACTTGTACCAATTAACATTAACATACTCATGTTTAAGGGATGCAGAAGAAACAAGCTTACCATTTTTCCGAACAATAAACCAGGAACATAGCACACCTACACCTCTGGCTCCCATTTTGGAGGAGTCGTAGGTACATCACTCAAAGAATAAGCTAAGATTGGCTCCACTTAAATATTTAAAAGATAAAACTTGGCCTAGCTGTAAGTTTGACTGTTTAGGAACTTGAACTTTAAACAAGCAAAATTCACGACAAGCAATCAGAGATGCGCATCGGGCGGGCGGGCTCCACCCGCTGCCTGAGGTGTGCGAGAGAGAGCGACAGTTCACGGGTGGTGCTGTAGCTTGGCGTGGCGGCAGCAGTCACCAGCCGGACATCCGAACAGTGCCGAAGTCACCTGTGCACGGGTCCGGCCGGGTCGGCGCTGGCCGACAGCTACTCTCGCCACGCCAAAAAGTGCCGAACGGAGCGGGCGGACCGCCCACCCGCCGCCAGGCTCGGTCCGGGCGGCCACCCGGCCCGTTGACGAAGAGACGGGCCGGGCGGAGCACCCAGGCGACGAGCGCTCGGTGGCTGCCGGGCGGAGCGCACCCGCCCGATGCGCATCTCTGCAAGCAATACTCTCATTGTGACTTACATCTTTCTGCCCAGGATTTCGGTACTTTTGAATGCACTTTTGCACTTCAGCCCTGACCCTCATTCTCCTTTCAGTGCTTACTTTAGGGTCCTTGCCTTGGTTCTTAATGTCTACAAAAGAGTTAACTTAGGCATTATTTTTACATTTTCATTGGTTTCTAATAATTGGAGTAGACTTGAGTTTGAGGTAAGAGGGCCTTTAAAAATTCATTTTCTAGTAAAGACAAGTCACAGGAAAAATCTACTTTGAACAGAGCTAGTATGTCAAGAGGAATGCAATCGTCCTCATCAAAATCATTATAAGTAATGTCGTTAACTCGGTGCTGTTGTACGTCATCATGAAAATCATCACTTAAATCTAATTGAAAACAGAGACTAGCAAATACATTACCCACATTTGAACCTTGAATGGAACGAGCAAACAGCGAGCCTCGATCCTTGGCTGTAGCTGATGCATCAGGCATTGCACTCATTAAAGTTTCTCTTAATTCCAGATCCCATGGTAGGGGTTTAGTGGAAAGAGCGTCCAGACTAGAATTTAAGAGAGCTTCCCTGCGCTCTTTGGCAAATTACAATTTGCCTTGCATTTACCACCGATAATCTGCTAATAACTCAGTCCGTCTTACCTTATAAAAGAAATCTGACCCATTAAAATTAATCACAGTAGACTGAGTTGTTGTGAGCGATCTAGTTTCTGAGAAAGCTTTCACAGGGATAGCTAAACGATCGGCTAAACATCAGTTTTAGCAGGAACATATCATCACATTTAAATTATCGTAAAACTCTTATAACTTTTACAATGCCATGAAGATTTACTTCAGAACCCATGTATTCATTCCAAATGCCACAGTGCCACGCCAAATGGGTGAACGAGCGCTAAGTGGCTGCACTGTTTGTTTTGCGTCTCACCTGGTTCCAGCCGCTGGCATACAGCGCCTGGGCAGCGATGCGTGAATGGTGAAACGCTGATAGGATGTTTTGTCTTCTCCCACTGATGATGTGGTATGAGACAAATGAGGTGATGTATCCGAAAAGGGTGCGCGTCGAAAAGCGTGCGGCAAAACTGTATGACTTGGGGGTGGTGATATTGTCTGCAGCGGTGAGTAATAGATGAACGAACATCATGAAAGCGGCAACCTGCACATGGAGGAGAGTAAAACCAATAAGTATTCCAGTATTTCTTCCGAGGGGGCCTCAACTCTCTTGTAGGATGTACACCAGATTGCCTAGACGGCCAGATTCCTTGACGAATATTTAGCTTCAAGGGCATAGACCGCCTGTAACTAGGCAAAACGCACTAATGTCACCCCGAATGTAGGCAAAAAACATGGCTTTTGAAGCCGATTAACTAGAGATTGCCGGGAAGGGTGTACACTAGATTGCCGGAGTTGAGGCCCCCTCGATTCCTTCACTGTAAAAATTTGCGAGGGTAATTTTACCCTTGAAGGGGACACAACGCCCCTTTACGTAACCAGTAACCAGTGAAAATAAATTTACCCACGCTCTGTTTGGTAAATTTCACCCAGCAATGTGTAGGGCAAATCTCCATACAAGGTTTGCTAACTTGTTCTCGCGGCATGGATATCTCTTTTATCTACCCATGAGGATAGAGTGATATTTCATGCCCTTCAGATGAATAACAATCCGGCTGAAACGCCATCTAACGATCGCATGCTTCGCGTCGAGGGAGCCGAGTGCAAAGAAAAGAGGTGATCTTCTGGGTGGCGTTGCGTCGGTCTAGAAGTTGTCCGAACGCACCTATCCTACGATGATGCTGTGGCCGTCAACCCTGTGGGAGTTCAAAAGTAAACTCCTAGTCAGTAAGATAAAATTTACACACCCAGTGCTGGCAATATTTTACCCCCGTGGGTGTTGAAAGAAACCTCCCCTCCAGAAAGGTGAAATTTATTTACCCAGAGTTGGTTAAATTTCATCTGTGTAAGTGTAAGGGGTGATTCCCCGTCCGAGACGCAATGTTTTCTTACCACATGGTAAGGAATTTTACACACTACCGATAAAAATAACGATTTACCCACCCGTTGCTGTGTGGGTCAATCTAGATTAGAAAACACAGGGAGAAATTTATCCACACATGGGTGAACAAATATTACCCTGGATTTTTTTACAGTATGAACCTAGCGGGCATATGCAACGACCTCGTGTCTGTCTGTTCTGCTAGAGGGAGATGTGCTAGAGACTTGGAATTTACCGTAACGATACCCCCTATGTACAACCGCTCACCGCCTCGGCGGCCGGAAGAAAACGCTTACCTCACTCCCGCTTTGTGGACAACAGCTTACCTACCTTGGCGCCCAGGACAACCGCTCAGCGCGCGCGACGCTCCGGATAACCGCTCAAGTGGCAGCTTGCTGATTTTCCAGGAGACGCTGTTGGAACTTTCATGCCCTAGGACAACTCTGGGTGACTTTTCTCAACTGCGGTGACGGTTTCAATCGATGACCCGATGTCTAATGCGTCTAATTCACATTTCGAGGCGTCCTTAGCCCGCATCGTTGACATGTGAGAAAGCCGAAATACGCACTGCAAAATGCTTGCAAAGAATAGGTTCGTATTGCAAACTACTTTCTTTGCAGCTTGCAAAGAATTTTCAAGCATTGTAATACGAACTAGTTCTTCACAAGCTTGCAAACTATTTCTTTGCAATGCAAACACATTGTTTGCAAGGATTCAAACCCCTTGCAAAGAAATTCTTCGCAATACGAACTAATTCTTTTGCAATACAAAGCTCGCAAATTCTTTGCAATGTTGCAAAGAATGTAGTTTGCAAGCATTTTACAGTGCGTTAGGTGTGTGCTGGGCGTAGGCATCCGTGTTACAATACTTAGCTCTTTTTAATGAACAGTCTGTTATTATTGTACTTTAAGTAAAATGTTATTCGACGCGTCCTAACAACAATGTTCTATCTTCAGCGTGCGGATTACACAATGTTCTATCTGCAGAGTGCTGAATAAACAATGTTCTATCTGCAGTGCTGATTACACAATGTTCTATATGCAAAACGGGGTTAGGCGCACCCCTTCACCTTTATGTGGTTTACAAGTAACTGGAAGACATTAAGGCCAATCGGAGCACACGGAAAGAATCGTAAAGGTCCAATGTTTAATTATTGACTGCAAAAAGTGAAGTAGAACGAGCGGTTACGGAGTAATAAGCATTCCTTTGGAGGTGTCCCGAAACCCTCGTTTTGCAGATAGAACATTGTGTAATCCGCACTCTGCAGATAGAACATTGTGTATTCAGCACTCTGCAGATAGAACATTGTGTAATCCGCACGCTGCAGATAGAACATTGTGTAATCCGCACTCTGCAGATAGAACATTGTGTAATCCGCACGCTGCAGATAGAACATTGTTGTTAGGACGCGTCGTATTGTCATTGGCACTTAATTAGAGGTTTTCGTGCGGTTCTTTACTCTTTTATACTAATGATATTTATGTTTTCGGGTTACATGACCGTGGTATCGATGTCCCTGGAGCATGGTTATGTTTTTAAACCGAAACATTCATCTGGTATCAAAGATCTTTTTTATCCAGAAGCCATCTGCTGCTGGTCAGTTAATGTTAAATTTTTTGAACTGTAAAAATAAATAAATCT